GTACCCCCCCTCCCCGTTTTAAATCAATAAAATGTTGATCACAAAAAAAAATGTTAATAATTTAAATATAATACTCTAGATCAGATTTCTAATCCCTACACCTAACCAAGGAAGCTAAGAGTAAAATATTTGTGACAAAAGGCCGAAACACCCTGTGTAGTTGAGGCACACAGCTGACAATGTGTCCCCCTGAAAAAGCTTCGGGCTGCCTTTCCTCATAGTAGTCATCGCTTAAGCAATGCATCATCAGGGATTGTAACATCTAGTCCTTTCAATGAATCAGAATGAATCAGGTTTCCTCACCGTCACTGATGAGAGAGATCTTCCTCTTGATGGCTGCCATCGTGGCATCTGAACAAAGAGCGTATAGGTCAGCACCGGTCATGTGAGCAGGGCAGCAGTCCACCACCTCTTGGAGATTCACAGCAGGGTCTAACTGAAATCTGGAACCAAGAAAAAGCTCATTTTAAAAGATGAAGTTAAAGTATAGTACTTACCATTTAAATGGACTGATGCTACGTAAACACAAATTTCTCATGCTCATAATTTCATAATTTTACTTTAATCCGATGACAGGTTCTCTGTACTGAAGCTGTGAAGACCAAAGTATTTAATGAAACATATCAGAATGAAAAATGTCGGAGAAAAAAGCTCGATGGCTGCTTTTTGTGCCTAGCTTTTTGCAGCTTGTGTAAAGGCCCAGCCTTCGCAGGAAGTGCTGTTCTTACTTTCTGAGGATGGCCTGAAAAACCTGCAGCTGGGAAACACGATCCTCATTGATTCCCATGTAGACCAGCTTATCAAACCTAAGAAGACAAAGTCCAGGAGAGGTTCAGACACACACTGAAATCAGAGAAATCTGTCTAATTGATTCCAAATGAAACATAATGTTATATCTATAACTGCTGTTCCCCGAAGCAGAGGAACGAGGTACAACATGGGGCTGTTCAATGTAACGATATATATCGGATGACGATATAAAAACGTCTGTCGTTTCATTTTACGCTATCGTTTGTTTCGTGGTGTCGCACGTGACACGCTAGTGACACGATCCTGTTGAGACTTTTCAAAATAAACTGAATCACGTGAAAGATGCAGAGAGTTTATGAATGAGAAGCAAAAAGAGCCGTCAGGTGCTAAAAAATAAACCTTAGACTCAAACGTTAGAACAGGCTTTTCCCCGCAGCACGCCGTGTAATAAATACTCGAAGAAAACGGCGCCGTTACAACTTATGACTAAAAATGTATCGTTTCATGCATCGGTTAAAACACTCGCCTCCAGCTACATGACGCCCAGCTGGAAACACTTCACACAAGTCGAGCTGCCCGAGATTCACAGGATTTACAGAAAATGTTCCATGTTTGTGATTTATATCGTTATCGGGACGATAGACGTCTTAATATCAGGATATGAGATTTTGGTCATATCGCACAGCCCTAGTACAACACATAAGTATTTGATATTACGCTCCCACGTGCCCTGGCTGAAGAAACCTTTATTCACACCTTTAAAGCGGATGGCCCGCGATGACATGCGCACGGCCCCGCCTACATATATACCCCGTGTCATCACAGTCATCCCTCAGTTCGATAGTCGCTCTTCACCGAGCCAAGCTGTGCGGCAGGGCAATGTTGTGTTGTACCTCGTTCCTCTCCTTCAGGGAACAGAAGTTGCCCTAGGATGATATCTAAAACTGCAGGACACCGGCCCTCAAGGCCTGATGTTGCCCACCCCTGGTTTAGACCAGAGGTGTGGACTCGAGTCACATGACTTGGACTCGAGTCAGACTCGAGTCACATGACTTGGACTCGAGTCAGACTCGAGTCATTAATTTTATGACTTTAGACTTGACTTGAAAAAATGTTCTAAGACTTGTGACTTGACTTGGACTTTTACACCAATGACTTGGGACTTGAATTGGACTTGAACCGGTTTGCTTGAAAAGACTTGATATTTCACAAATATAAAATTTAACATGCATATTATATAGAGATTGAAAATGTGACGTCATTCACGGGTAGAACCGCAAAGGATTCTGGGAACTCGTGGCAAGCGGTACTAGCGCACGCAGGCTTTCAATTAAAATCAGTCACACAGCGATAAAAAGAAACAAAAAATGTCAAGAAGCCGTTGTATTATTAACTGCAATAGCCGGTCGCATGACAGCCACGGGA